CCAAAAGAGATCCAGAAAATAAAAATTTTTTGAGGTACATACTGAAAGAAAATGGTGAAGCCATCAACTCCTGAATGACTTATTGCAAAATGTTAAGGTGATTTAAACATTGAAACATTGCAGAAAAACACCTCTTCTAGATCTTTCCTCTGATCCAGTCCAAAATTCAGCTTGAAGGTTTCCAGTGCACATGGCTAAGCTAAAGTCTGTCTAGTTTTATACATTTATAAAGAGAAGCTTTCACTAGGTGTGGTAGTACATGCCTGCAATCCGAGCTACTCAAGAGGCAGAGGTAGGACTATCAAGTTCAAAGCCAGCCTGGGCAAAGCATGTGAAACCCTGGCTGAACAACGAACTAGAAAAAAGCAAAAGGACTGAAGGCTTGGCTCAAGTGCTGAGGTACTGATTTCAATCCCCAGTACTGCCAAAAAGAAGAGGAAAAAAGAGTTATGTATATGTACATATAATAGTTTATTTATAAACTCTTCTTTTTATATATGTGTATATATATATGTATGTGTGAATATGTATGTATATACTTTATATGCACATAGTTGTGCTATATGGTGCTGGGAATTAAACATGTGGCCTTATACATGCTAGCCAACTGCTCTATCCCCAGACCAAGTTTTATAAATGTTGAATACATGTTTGGGGAGTATCCTAGCTTTTTCATCTTGAGATTTTTTTGCATGAAAATCTCTAGCATTCTCAACACTTTTTATAAATAAAAACTCTCTGGGCTTGCTGTCCCATCACAAGTGAAGCTACAATCCATAACTTCATCATCATCCTTTTCTTCAACACGTCAATTTAAAGTGGATCTGCAAAAATATATGATTGTGATATTTAATTCAAATGGTACTTTTAAACTCCGTATTGTACTCCTTAGGTCTTTTAAGCAATTTAGTAAATCTCATATAAACAAATAACTTGCCTGCCAATTAGGTAAATGGTAGATATTTAAGCAATTTATAAGGACAAGAAAAATAAAACAGATTTTTAATTTAGCCACATTTTTACCCTTTTTAATTACTTTAATCTTTAGATACATGTAATGTTTCTTCAGAAACTCAAGAACCATTCCTTCTGGGAATATGACTGCTTTTGAAGGTAAAATTTCGTGGTTTTCTGTGTCTGTGCCTTGCTACAAATAATGGTTTTCATTTCTGACTTCATTCAAAGCTTGCTTAAGATTTTTTAAATGTACACTAAACTGGACATGGTGGCACATGGCCTATAATTCCAGCACTTGGGAGGCAGAGGCAGGAGGATTGTGAGTTCAAGGCCAGGCTGTGCTACACAGTAGGACCCTATCTCAAAAAAATAAAAACAACTAACTAAATAAATAAAATGCATACTATAGCCATAGGATAATAATCACAAGTACTCCTTTTTTTTTATTAAAAATTTTGATGGGAATAAATAAGTAAAATTTGCCATTCACAGAAGTTACTAAAACTCTAAAGACCTTTATTACTTTACAATTTGTTAGAATAATGACTGACTTTAAAAATTGCCCTAACCGGGAAATGTTCCTGGGCTATATAGTGCCATTAGTTACCCATGGAAAGTTATGAATTTTTACTTAAACTGTCCACTTTTGTGTCACTTTAACAAATGATGAAAACCTTTCACTTTCTTCCAGGTATTGAACAAAAAAACACTACTAGTTCATTTTTGTTGTTTATTGTGTATGACAAGACAAAAATGTGAGCTACATGGAGAAAGGACTTTTTAAAAATCACTGCAATATTTTTAATGCTAGTATATTATTGTTTATCAGTACTCACAATTAGGTCTAGTTTCAAATTCAGGCTGAAGCACACAGCTTGCTCTCCAGGTTAAGTGAGCCAGTCATAATCAAATGCCTGATTTCCTCTAGATCTAAGTGTTCCTACCAACCTCCTTATCACTTTCTAACTATTGTGACGTAGAAAGATCAACTTTAAAATATGTCAGACAGGCAAACAGGCAGGCAGGCTACATAATTTGTGAGGCACCATGCAAAACGAAAAGGCTCATGATCAAAAGTATTGAGGATTGTGAGATGGTGACAGTCCAGTGTTAAACCAAGCATGGAGCCTTAGGAGGCTGCATTGGTCAGCTGCCTAAGATGACTGCTGTAGACAGGATTTGATTAGTGCTAGATTTTTGAAATCTTACAAAAGAAATAAGGGGAGCTGGGCACTGGTGGCTCAACCTGTAATCCTACCTACTCAAGAGGCAGAGATCAGGAGGATCGAGGTTCAAGACCAGCCCTGGCAAATAGTTCGTGGGACCCTGTTTTGAAAATTCCCAACACAAAAAAGAGTTGTTGAATGGCTCAAGTGATAGAGAGCCTGCTTAGCAAGTGTGAGGCCCTGAGTTCAAACCCCAGTACTGCCAAATCAAATAAATAAAGTACATTATGATTAGGATTCATGTTTCCTCGTACTAACATCCCATCATTACTCTATATTATAAAGGTTTGAAGATCTTTAAGATAAATGTGATTTAAATAATAAATTATGTAAGCCACAGCCACCTTTTCAAATCCTAATATGCCCTTTTGATTACACGAATTTCCATCTGGTTATAATTACTTATTGTCACATTATCCCATCAAATTATTTTAATAACTCAATATTAAAAATCCCAGTGGTGTGATCTTTTTTGAGTGAATTTATTTATCATGTAAATAAGTACTCTTTAAAGGGTAAAAATTAGTTAAAGATACTCTTTTGTTTCACAAAAATTTATTAAAATTCATATATGCAAATTATGGTACTTGGCTCTTTAAGAAATTTACACATTATAAGATAAGAAAGTATGCTAATTTGCTGGAAAGCAAATTTCTTGAAGCCAATTAGCCAAATGATCAATTTGTTGAGTGACCAATTTGCTAAATTAGCTAAATTGAATGACCATAAAAATATTTACCAGCTTTTAACAGCATTGTTCATTTAGGTTGTTAGTAGTGATTTATGAATATAGAAGAATCATATGTATATATGATTTAAATATCACATATATTATATATTATGTATATAACATAAGACATATACACATATGTAGACTCTTATGAATATATTTATTAACCTGTTTTTTAAAGTCTAGGTATAAAAGGAAGTGAGACCCTAGCAAGGTCAAAGTTCTGAGTTCAACCCCCAGAAAAAAAGGAAGTGGGAATATTTGGAGGGAATGGCTACAATGGACCAGATTAAAGATTGATCAGTGTTGGTTAAGTAGAGACATGAAGAAGGAACCATGTTAAATATTGAATACTGTAGATCATTTGTTGTACAAAAATTTGTGAAAGCATCTTAAGAATGTTAAAAAGTTTAGCAAAAGAAATCAATACAAGTAGGTTCATAAGCACTATATCTATGTATCCAGAATTTAAGGCACTTTCCCTTCTTGTTATAAACTACATGGATTCTTTTTATAGGAAAATCTGCCTCTGTCAATTGTTCTTTCATTAGAAATCACAACTTCACTATATAATATGGCTCAATTACTTCTGATTTCAAAAATTCCCATTTTGAAAGTGATATATGGACTCACAAACTTTATAGTTAATAGCCTAAGCTGAATATTTTTGTTACTGTTGAAACATTGTTCTTGATAAGGTTGCTACTCATTACTTTTCAACAGTACAAACTTTAAATGTAGTAAAACTGGCAAATAATTAATTGGTAAATACTATTCAACTACCTGGTTTTTCTGCTAATTGGCCTGCTTCTAGATAGAAGAGGGGAGAAGGTAACTAGAACCTATAAAAATACTGTTTTTCAGGAAGATGATGGAAGAGAAAAATATGAACTGGAAGTGATTAGAAAGGTAGTAAGAAACCTCAGGGGCTAGAGACCTGGATCAGTAGCTCAAGCAGTAGAGTGCTGGTCTAGAAAGTGTAAAGCCCTGAGTTCAAACCCAGTATGGGAAAGAAAAACAAACAAGTAACCCTAAGACTATTCAGGGAAATGGAATGTCAAGAAAGATGTTTAGCAAAGTCAGGTGCCACAGAAAGTTCCAAGATAAGTAACATCATTAGTTCCTTTGCAGGCAAACTTTTCAGAATAGAAGCTTCAGGACTCAGTTTGCAAAAAAATTATTAGATGTATATAATTACCCAGATGATAGCAAAATTATTTTCTTAACCTCAACTATATTGAAATAAACTCCTCAAGAGTAAAGGCTTAATTTTATTTTACTGATTTTCAAATTCTCTATTTTTTCTCTCAGCTTTCCCAACCAAAGTCATCACCTTTAGTAAATAAAAAATGCAGAAATCTGTGATACACTTAAATTTCAGATAAAACAATGAAAAACTTTTAGTATAAGTATGTCCTAAACATTGCATAAAACATATTTTTTTCTTAAAGAGGAGAGGGAAAGGGAGAACGAGAGAGAGAGAGAGAGAGAGAGAGAGATTTGTTGTATATCTAAATTCAGATGTATTTATTTATTTTCAAGGCACAAACTTACTTGGGTGACCTATTTTATCTATCAACTTTATTCCCAATCTTTGCCCTCGTCCTGTCCGGAGCAAGTAATTAGAACAGCGCTTGGAACACAGATATCCTCTTAGAGTGGTGAATAAGGTGGCTATTGACCTGGGACACTAAAGTATCAAGTCCAGTATGCCCAGAATAGGACGGAAGGAAGGAAAGAAGGAGAGAGGAGGTGAGGAGAGGGGAAAGGAGTGGAGTGGAGAGGAGAGGAGAGGAAAGGAGAGGAGAGGAGAGGAGAGGAGAGGCGAGGCGAGGCGAGGCCCTCTCTCCAAAGAGAGTAGGGTCATTATACGTGTGGGGACAGCTATGCAATGTCAGCACTAGCACCAGAGAGTTGAGCATGGAGGTTTGATGATTACAGACTGACCCAGGGCGGGTCTGTTTTCCCGAGAAGGTTGCAGTGGTGTGTCTGTGCGTCTGTCTGTGCGCGCGGGGCGGGGCGGGGCTCTCTGCGCTCCTGGACGTCGCAGGCCAGTCGTGGATCGCGTCTCCCAGCGCTGGCGCAGGCTGCGAGCGGCGGGCGCACTCTGCAGCCCTGGCTCTGCGATGGCACACCTGTGGCTCTTAGGGAGCTGGGGGCTCTGGAGCGTGCTCCTGTGCGCCGCGGATTCCCGCTCAGGTAACCCAGTCGGGGAGTTAGGGAGGCGAGCGGAGGTCAGCGTAGACACCAGCCCTGCTCTCTCCCGGGGTCGCAGCAGAGGCGGGACCACCTGGCACCTGCACGGGGCTGACGATGTGGTTGCGGGTCATTGGAGATCAGTTCTGACAGAGACAGTGCAGAAAGAGATTGAGAGACAAAGACAGGTACAAGGTCAGGACGTGAGAAAATAGCTTTAAATTCACCAGGGCTGCTGTTTAAACTGTGGAGGTTCCCACCCCCATCCCCCTTTAAAGTAACATAATTGGAAAGAGACCATAATTTGACTGGGGAGGGATTGAGGGGGTACGAAGACACAGCCTGAGTTCTCCTTCCCTTACTTTTCTAGGGCCCTTTCCCAATGAAGCTAAGGCTGTGTCCCTAGTTGGACAGGAATGGGTCTCCATGGCAGGTGTCAGTCACTTCCAGGGGAAGCTGCCCTGTGTCTTCAAAGTAATACCCAGGAGAGGGCTGGGAAGAAAGTGATAAGATAAGAAACTGGAGTTGTCTGCGGAGATAAGAGGGATGAACTTGAGATAGGAAGCCCAGCACCATCTGAAGATAGGATCCAGACCCTTCGCTGGGTATCCCTTCTCTTGCTGTCTGGTGCCAAGAGTTAGTAGGCACCACAAGCAGGAACATTTTGGAACTCTTGGCAAAGACAGACCCAAAGTGCAGAGGCATTGGATCTGGGGCGGGGGGTAGGGGGGTGGGGTGGGGGAAGCTGATCTCCATGTTGAAGAGCTTTATCTATTCTAGGTCAAGTCCATGGTACACGTTTTTCAGGAAAGAACTAACATTCCAGTCACAATTTCCTTAACCTTTTTTCATACATCCATTTCTAACAATTTATAATTTCTGTGGCCTTCCTTTGTGTCTCCACTTGAATTTTTCTAGTTTGAAAAATTATTTTAGCCTCTAAATTTCCAGATCTGTACAATTTAAGCAGAAAATAAACACTTCTATTCACTGTAAATCTTTGAGTTGTTTTAAAGAATTTCTAGCAGGGCATGGTGGTGGTGCACACCTGTAATCCCACTCAGGAGGTTGAGGCAGGAGGATCATGAGTTTGAGGCCAGGCTAGACTACATAGAGTGTATTTAAAAAAAGAAAAGGAAGGAAGGAAAGAAAAGAAAGAAAGAAAAAATTCTCTGAAGAGGCAGGTCAGGCAGTTCCTTCTATCTAGAACTCTCCTAACAGTAGGTCCAGGTTAACTAATTCACATTTGTCTTCCAAGGTACATCAGGGGACTCCTTTCCTTCAAGAAATTTCTGTGGCCCAAGTGATGTGAGTCAAGTGCTTCTTCTGAGTCACCTATAGCCCTGTGCCCCCTCTGAGTCTGTATTGTCTAAGTTAACTCTCAGAAAGTTAAGACTGATACACATTTCTATATTCCCAGGAAGCTAATCTAGTTTATTGAGTGAATTAGGAACCTTTGCACTAAGAACTCAGTATCATTAGGACAATAGAAAGATCTCAGAAAGTATCTTTCCTGAAGACTCAGACTGTCAGAGAAAATACTTCTTAAAATATAGCATTCCTCTTTTTACCTGTACTATTATTTAAATTCTCCTAGCATTGTACTTCTTAAGTGCTTTTCTAATGATATGTTTCTCCAGGTGATTGTGGGATGCTGCATGTAGTTATATGATATAAATGGTTTCATAAGTGTCTTATGATAAATAAGAATGATGGTAATGGTAATATACTATTCCTGCTCTCTTTAGCACTTAAGATACTGCTTTGCACAAAGCCAGTGAATATCAACTAAGTTAATGACTTCCATCCCTTTCAAGTCATTGGTTGGTAGAGCCAAAAATAAAACATGGATAGATTTTAGTCTCAGTTCTATCAGTTTTTCAATGTTTTTCTTACAAGATTATGACAGATGATACAAAATGTGCTGCTTGAAATGAAGAATGTGGCAATTTTACTTCTACTGTACATTTATATCTTTCAGATGGTTCTAAAATAATCCCCCACGTTGTGGAAGTAATACCTAAATATGGCAGCATAAATGGAGCAACAAGGCTGACCATCAAAGGAGAAGGTAGGTTGTGTGTATGAAGGGGGAGGGGCTTGCATGTGAGTGCAAAGGTTGAGGTATTTTAAAGATCATTTCACATTGTGCATACTAGGCAAGTGCTCTACCACTGAGTCACATATATTCCCAGCCAAAGTTAGACCTTTTCTTTTTTAAAAAGAAAACAAAATTTTAAAAAATTACTGGCTTGTTTTCTCCATTTGTCAAAGCAATAAATTTCTATCCCCTTTGAGCAAAGGCTAATGAAATCTCTCAAAGTCTTATAAATTTGGTCATCTGAATTCTTGTTATAATTACTTGCTTCACACTAAGATCTGAATTTGATGTCTGAGCTAAAGGAAATATCTTTAACTCAACTCTGCAATTATTTGCTTTTTTCTACATGGGTCTTATAATTTAACTCCTTTTTATATTAAATCAAACATTTTAGGGTGTCAAAGTAGGATGTTATTAAGAAAGTATGATAAAGGAATAGTGTTAATGAAAGATGAAAGACCATAGAAAGCAAAACTTTGGATCCCTTCTGCACCTAACCCCTATCATGGGCTGCATCAAGGCATGAGTTATGTATGACTCTCGTTCCCCTTGCCTGGTCTTGGGATGAAAATATAAAAGACAATCAGTAGATATATTTAATGAACAGCTCCTCCTAGGATTAAATTGAAATATGTGGTTCTGCCAGCCATAAGGCCTTGGTAATATAAGTGATATTAATATTCAGATACTTATGAAGTTTTTGAAAGATAAGAAAAAACATTCTTTAAAACAATAATGAATCTACTGTATGATCTCAAAAATAAGAAATGAGAAGTTTTTGGAGTCAGAGTTGACAAAGCAAGTTATTTAATTGTTCTGCCATGTCTTTTAATGTTTCTAATATTTCTGTAGCAATAAATCTTTCAGTGATATACTTAAAATAGGTTATGCCCCGAATAGTGAACAATATATTTTGGATTCAAGCACTCTGTTTTATAGTTAAGATATAGAAACAATGTATTTACTAAAGATTATTTTAAAGATGCCTCTAAACATTTCTCCCTTATTTTATAAATTCCTATTAAGATGGCATCCTTGGAAACTATTGGGTTTCACACGGAAATTTAAGTGTAAGGAGAGAAATTTCCAGATTAAAAGAAAAGAAAACCAAAACACCCAGTCATTATCTTCTGCCTCAAAATCTGAACTTTTTCTGATCTAGGAATCATGGCTGGAGTTTAAGTCCAGAGACTCAGATCATCCTTAATCAGAAATAGGAAAATAAAACATTCTAATATTAAGCTGTTGTAGAACATTTTAGGAGGCCAGGCTTGTTCCTCTAGCCATAATCTCTGGTCTTTTTTTTTTTTTGGACCTGCTAAGGCAGGCAGGCTCAAGACTCTTAATGATGAAGCACAATGGGATGGTCTATTTCTGCTTTTCCTATCAGTCCCAATTTCTGAATGCTTTGTCAGAGAGCTATAGAAGAGTTCAATCTTATTTGAATTTCAGACACCTGTACCCTCACCTTGATTTGTTCTTCCTCACTCTGTTTTAATCACAGACTAACAATGGGTTGGCATATGTCTTTCTCAAAGGCTGAATCTAAATACTATTTTTACTGTTTTATAGAAACTTTATGCAAAATAAGTAAGTCCTAGAGATCCTCTGTACCTCACAGTGCCTGTAGTTAACAGTAAGGTATTGTATACTAAAATTTTGTTAAGAGAGTAGGTCTTGTGTCAAGTATTCTCATTACAAATTTTTAAGTAATGAAAAGAGCAAAAGGAAACTTTGGAGTTGAGCATATGTTTTCAAATTGCTTATTTTTATACTTAGTTGAAACTGATCAAGTTGTATACAGCACATTAAATAAGTACAGTTTTTTATGTATCATTCCTACCTCAATAACATAATATTTTAATACAGGCTTTTTGTTGCATATATATATATATATATATATATATAAAGAAAGCAGGGAAAATGGATTTACAAAACACACCAGAGCTTCTATAATTGCATGAATGAACTTGAAAGAAAGTTTATTTGAAGGAATTACATTGACATAGTTCAACAGTATCTTTAATCAATAACACTCCATTTTTACAATTGCATGCAGTGCTAATTTATCAACAAAATCACTTTCCAATGGAATTTAAATTCTAGATGATTACCTAAAAACTAGTTCCATATAACTGTGTAAAATGTTTTATTTTTGTAAAAGTTATTATAAAAGCAAAATATTATAGGAAGTATTGATTTGGGAATTGAGTTCTCTTAATACCATCAATTAGAAAATCTACTGGTAGCATTTTTGTATATCCAAATGATATTTGGTTATTTCTAAAAATGATATTGCCCCTTTAAATACAAAAATTTGCTACTGAATTACTTTGTTAAAGTAAATTGGATCACATGACAAAGGAAGAGCACATATGGGAGATATAGGAATAGGTAGAAAACCCAAAACATGAAACCCAAATATTGATGTCCCCACTCCAGAGGAACTATACAGAACCTTAAAGTGACAGAGGTTATCATGAGAAAGGGATCACGAACCAGTGTAAAGATCAGTTAGAGTTGAATCAACATGGGTCGTAACACATGGGTACATGAAAGCAATGTTAGGAATCTCTCTGTATAGCTCTCCTTAATTCAACTAGCAAAAACACTTTGTCTTCTTTATTATGCTTATATCTTTTCTTCAACAAAATTAGAGATAAGGTCAGAGCAGGACCTGCCTGGAACTGAGCAGGGGAGAGGGAAGAAGGTAGGGGAGGAGGGCAGGGTGAAGAAATAACCCAAACAACGTATGCACATGTGAATAAATGAATTAAAAAAAAGGCTGTGCTTAAGGCTGAAGATGTAGCTCAGTGGTGGAACACTTGCCTAGCATGTGTGATGCCCAAGGTTTGATCTCCAGCACTGAAAAAAAAGGTCTGTGCTTAAAAACTGATACTACTCTTAGATGTCAAAGCAAAAGTGTTTTGAGCAATGCCATAATCATAGAAATAATCATATCTCCTCTTCCCATGACTGATTTGATGAAGGGGATTATGATTTTGATAAGTTCCAGAGTGTTTATATGCATACTTCCTACCCATAGTTTGTATTTCTCAATTATTTTCCTTAATATTTATCATGTCTATAAGACATCCTAATTCTGATTCTTTTTAATAGCTGTTTCTCTGTGAAAATATCTGGCACATATGCTTTTGTTGGAATATTGAATTATATACACTTTTATAATATTATGGAAAAAAAATAGATTTTGGTCCAGTCTGATTGGCATTCAAGTCTATCTTTGATATTGTCATTTGTGTACCTGGAACGAGTTGCTTGTCTGAGCCTTTGTTCCCTCATCAGTAAATGGGCTATCATGCTTCTTGGGACTCATGAATACTGAAAAAGATAATGTATCTAAGGTACCTGTTATATAGTATATGCTGTATAAATTAGAGCTATTTTACTTTTATTATTCTTTTGTACTTACAGGCTTGGTACTTTTAGGTTCTGTACTTACAGGAGTGATCTTCCATCCATCATGCTGTATTTTTCTTCCCCCATTGTTCTGAAGTTGCAACTTATTTCTACACTCCCAACCCTGTTTTTCTTTAACTAGAGAAAACAAAACAGCCTATGTTGTACATGACAGCTTCTGGCTTAAACAACATTGACATTTTCCATGATAGCAGCATGGGCGTTACTTTTGGATTGCTGCTATCAGGAGACCCATGTTTGTGTGCCTGGAAATTCCTGTCTCTAGTTTTTCTTCAAAAGAAAAAAAAGACACATCAATGTGTCAGGAATTTCCATCCGAAGCCTCAGCCTTTTCTGTTTCCAAGGTACACCCAACCCTTCCTGTAAATTTTTGTGCTTTGGAGGACTTTCAGTGGTATTGTCTTTGTGCCAAATTATTTGTTTAGAATTGTGCTTTTAAATTAAAATTCTTTTTAAAAGTTGGGATTTTTTTGCCTCATTGGAATTAACTTATATAAGAAATATTTCCATTGTGTTTTTAAAGCATAACATACACAGTATTTACAAATCTTGTTAATTTAGGTCATATCTTCCCATAGGTTTTATTCCTAGGACATTTGCGCACACAACACACACACACACACACACACACAAACTAATACATATATTAGTTATCTTTGGAATGCCAAAGAAGAAATCCGTATTACCCTTCATTTATGTACATGTACCCATTAGAAAAATACATAATACATCACATCCTTTACCACAGCACAACTAAGACTTTCCATTCTTTAGTTAGTTGCCAACAGCCCTTCTCTGTGTTCCAAAATTCAATGTGAACTCCAAAGATAAGCAGCATTGGCAAAAGAAAAGAAGGTTTACAAGCAGCTTGCTTTGCTGTTTTCAAGTACTAACTGTCTTTCTAGTTTCTAACTGCAAACTCATTGCAAATATCTGATATATCTAACATTTATACTTATGTTTGTATTTATAATGGTCTATGCCAAATGAATTGTTTGATTAGGATTTAAGCTTTGAGGAATAGAATAGTGCTTATTTAAATCCCTGCCCTTTGTTGAGTTTCAAGTTACTTTTCCTACATATAAAGTAAAGACTAAGATAAGAAGAAGACAGGACTGGAGCCGTTACATTGGGTAGCAGGTAATAGCACTGACATCTACAACTTGAGCTCAGATCCTGGCTGCCCTTTTACTGATTCTGTGTTATTTTTGAAAAGGGATGTTAATGCTAAACCTAAATCTTGGGATTTTTGTGACTAAGAAGAGCAGTATCTTTTGAGTTCTTAGCTGACATCTTATTGAGCCAGGCACTATACATAAATTATCAATATCACTAACAATCCAGTAACCTAATTATGGCCATTTTTTCTGATAAGGAACTAAGCTGAGAGAGTTTATAACTTGTCCAAGTTCACACTGGCAAGGAAGTGTTAGAATTGAGATCCCAACCCAGTTGTCAGGGCCAGAAGCCAGAATACTTTCCATTAAACACAGGTGACCTGACAAGTACCTTTACCAGAGCTGGAGTTT